TGAATCGGACACAAATTGTAGAAGTTACGGACGAAATTGTCTTTAAAAATGTAATTCTGAGAAAAACACATTTAAAGTTTCGATTACCGATTGACGGCGTTGTGACGCGCTTCGTTAAATCGGTTATAATGGCATAAAACGATCGAAATTTGTCATTGAAACTATTTGGATTATATTTTTAGAAGTATAATCAATTTAAGCAAAAAAAATTCGATTTTTTGAAACTCAGGGGTGGTCTAACCCCTTAGCGAATTATGAACTGTCTACAAAATTCGAAAGTTCAATGCGAGTAGCGTTTATAAAATCAACGTAAAAGATTATACTATACATAATAAAAGTCAATTATGTACTTCGAAACATTCATAATTTTCTACGATCTGTGCTTATAATTCGTTGAATATCTTTTAATAGGCGCATATCATATTAAAAATTATCAAATAAAATAAACATACAGTACATATAAAATGTAATTTAAAATTTTAAATACTGATAATAAGACTCATGTACAATTTTTAGGGATACGATTAGCAAAGAGATAGTAACGAGATATTCTAGCAACTTAAATTCTTCTGATGAATTTTACACGGATAGCAACGGTCGTGAAATGTTGAAACGAAAGAAGAATTATCGTCCAACGTGGAATTTGAATCTATTTGAAGAAATATCTGGCAATTATTATCCTGTTACTTCCAAAATCTCGTTGAAGGATAAAGAAAGGTTGCTTAAACTCAGCGTGTTAACGGATCGAGCACAGGGTGGAACTAGTCTAAGAAATGGTGAAATCGAAATGATGGTAAAATTAATTATCTCGTACACTAGAAGAAGAAAAAACAAAGTTATCCAAAATTGTCGTATTTTATTTTTAACTTTTATGTTAAATGTAAAATGTAATTTATATTATATATTTAATCTGTCATATAGAAGATGAGATTTTATCATGTCAAAAAAAAAATATTAACTTTTAAAAATTCAAATAATAAATTAAATAATACAATACATACTTACTCTATGTATCAATATGTTACAGCTTCACAGAAGACTTTTAAAAGATGACGCATTCGGTGTAGGCGAAGCTCTCAATGAAACTGCCTTTGGTGAAGGTTTAGTGGTCAGAGGTACACATTACATTATCGGTGGTAGTACGAAAAATTTGGATAAAATTGCAACGAAGGAGAAAGCTTTAGCGCTTGAAATGTTGCTTCGCCCATTAATCCTTATTAAGACAAATGCTTCAGTTAGCGCGAATGTTACCATACAAGTAAGTATTTTTAAACTGATACATAATAAGTACATAACTAGAATGACCTTTGAAATAACTAAACCTCTAGAAATTATTAAATAAAATTGATCTACGAAAATTAGCTGTGTTAATGGTTTTTTTTTTTAAGTGTAGAAAGAATTTAACTTCCAATTTTTTTGATTTTCAGAATACCGGTCTTGCTAAATCCTTGCCACCAAATGTGCACATTTTAACTTTGGAACCATGGAAAGATAATACAGTTTTACTAAGGCTGGAACATATTTTCGAAGTGGGTGAAACAGTTTCCTACTCCAAACCTACGGAAGTTAATATTCAGGTTTGTCTTATTATTTGAATGCCCTTTAATATTTGTTCTGACAAATTCTTCAAGTATTTCTTCTATTTTTTCGTATTATTAAAAACGACGAAAATTTTTTGCGATCCCATTAAATGGTACATCTTATATAATATCAAAAATTTGCATTCTTCTTTCTACACTGTGTATTTAATTACTGGTATATACACTTAATTTATTTTCATTGTAATTCTGTTACAATAGGATCTGTTCTCAACGTTCACGATTGTATCCGCTAAGGAAACTACATTGGGTGCCAATCAATGGTTCAACGAAATGAATCGTTTTAAATGGAAAGCTGAAACAAATGACGTTGATCAAGGGGAAGACTTCTCTACCCCTGTAGAAATGAAAGACGGTGCTATAAATGTTGTTTTGAAACCAATGGAAATACGAACATTTATTCTTGAAATAGCACCATCAAATTTATAATTTAAAACTAAATAATTCATTCATGCTAACAATGAAATCTATTCTATTGTTTAAACATATTTGAATTCGTCACATTGAATGTATGATACAATGAAATTGATGTAATTGATATTGTATGGATAAAAGTTGTAATAAAGATCAATTTACAATCTTGTACATGTGAAATAGAGATCTCTAAATAGACGGATACCCGCGCACTAAAAATTATACAAATTAATTAAAGTTATTAATTAGTTAATTCATAATCTCACATTAATATTAATCTTATTTAATACTTTTGAGCCGAACTGTCCGTACATACAGGATGTTCGGCAACTACTAGTGGAAAATGTATTATTCTAGAATTATTCTAGAAGCTGATATAAGACGAAAATCAAGAATAAAAAAATTGTTTAGTTATTAACGTTTAAAAATATGTCTGTAACCAAGCAAACCTTCTTACACAAAAGAATGAATATAGATCAAGCAAAAACACGGGGAGTACAGTCACAGACGAGGTTCTTAGGATAGACTTATTAACATAGAATAAGATTATAATATTAGGAATGGAATTATTCCTATGGAATTACAAATAAGAAAATAACGTAATAGTTTATCAGTAGATGATTCATCACTATTTTTTCATTTTTCCTAATGTTGAAGTTCATTCCTTGATTTCTATGGTGTCTTTGAAGGTCCATCTGTAATTCACACCGAAATAACATTAATTTTTCAATTTTCAATGAAAGTTATAAACAATTTCTAACTAACCTACTGCATGCAATTTGTTGCGTCGCCATGCACGTGAGGAAACCTCGACCTGGCGGATTATAACCATAAACTTCATTAATCATGTCCAACCGCCAGACCGGGGTACCAAACTCACATTGGCCCGCAATAAACCTCCTCGAGCGAATCCATTGATACGACGAAAACAATTACATCTACTTTAGACGGAACGGACGGACCTGTGACAATGACGATACGATTTTTTATAGTCGTTCTGGTCGTAAAAAATAAGCTATAAACGTTGGTACTTAAATGTCTTAAGTGACATTTTAAGACATGTTACCGTCATATGACTCGATGTATTTCTTCGTAAGAAATTAATTAGATCTTTTACATATCAAATTTATTCAACATAATTCTAATGATATACATAGGTGTATATCAAATTCTATTTTACACCCTCTAAAATTGAATGTCATTCTTTTTGACGCATCATAGAAATTATAACCTTTTAACATGTGAAATTCCAACAAAAACAATTTCAGATATTTCCTTAAATTGCAGGAAAATCTCTACTCTGAGATGCCATTTCAGAGTGATAAATGTATTTTTTCGATGACACGAAATTATATTGGAAAGGATATTACGTACAATAGCCTGTATTCAATTATTTATCAGAGTAAGTATTAAAAACGTTAATAAAATTAGAAATCTGAAAGACATCGTTTCTAAAAAGATTATTGTACTTCAATAGTTTTGCAATGAATTACAGAAATCTCAATGACAGATCAATTTATTAACAGTGTCGAAACACAAAAGTTAATGTACGATATTTCGTTTCGTTTGTTTACGAGGATGATTTCAAGGGGGCACACCACCCTGATGCATCTAAAAAAGAAAGAAAAGTTTGGGAATTTTTTTCACAGGTAACTATAGAATGAAAAATTTTTATTTTATCAGAGGATATAAACGTAACTTTCGGCTTTTTTCTCGAATTTTTAAAAAGTAACAATGGTACAAAATGGAGGAGCTATTGAGAAATCTCTTTCAAGGATTAGAACGTCTGAAATAAAAATTTCTTTTTCATTTATAAATAAAAATGTATTACCTACAATGTAGCGTATGGTTTTTTCCATATCTCAATTATTTAATTGTATATAAACATTTAAAATTAATTTATTTTTTGGTAAATATATGACATTGATGTCATTAATGATATTTCTCTTCAAACTGCCATCATTTCTATAATAATTACAATTTTTGAAAAATCGTAGGGTACACTGTAGATAATACATTTTTATTTATAAATCAAGAAGAATTTTTATTTATGATTCAATGGCGACAGCAATCGATGTTCTAACAGAAGAGGTTTCGCAATAATTCTTTCATTTTGTAACATTTGAACTTTTTAAAAATTGGAAAGAAAGCTGAATGTTACATTTATATTCTCTAAAAAAAAAAAAAAAAGGAAACTTTTCATTTAGTAGTTACTTATGAAAAAAATTTCCAAACTTCGTTTATTTTTAGACGCCTCAGGTTAGTATACCCCATTAAACATATATTTCTTTTACTCTTGACTAGTTACATACTGTATATTCATTCGTAAATAGGTAGTAATTTGTCATATTTTTCTATTATTAGATGACACCGGAAGATGATGCATGGGCTCAAACCCTTATCACGGTAACTCCAGAAGACGATGCAACATTAAGAGAAATTTCGGACACAGTTACATTGTCTTCAACACAAGACACATCTTTGATCCTTGATCCTGATCAAATTGTATATAGACGGTCGTTTACTCACAGACAATTTTTAGATTCTAAAGAAACAGAGGAAGACGATGAAGGAAAAGTAGAAGAAGAAGAAGAAAGCCAGCAAAAAGTGGAGGAGCCAGAAGAAATCTCTAAACAAGATGCAGAAAGTCAGACATATTTACAAGGAACACCAACTGTTCATATTTCTGTCGAATACCGGTATGGTATTGATGAAAGTTCGCAAACGATGTATATGAGCACACCATGTCCTCCTTTAAAATATTTCAAGGATATCATGAGTATGTATTACCTTCGTTTTGGTATTTTCAACGCATCTAGACTAAATTATTATTAATTCGATGTCCGGGAGCGGTTCTAGTACGTGTGCAGCACGTGCATGCACACGGGTGGCCATATTCCTGGGGCAGCCGATAGTACACTTTAAAGAATATAATTAAAATAAATGTACGAAAAATTTTTATAGATTTTGTTCCCCCTGTAAACTATATGGAACTGTCATAAAAACATAATGTTAGGCTCCCATGAGTTGAGTTAGTTTATGAATTTGCTCACGATCTATGGTGGTTCGAAAAGTTCGTAACAAAATGTCGAAAGAATTCAAACTGATATATCTCTGTTTCTAATTGAGATAGCGACAAAAACCAAAAGGTATTTTACTCATCCACGCTCCACTGCAGAAAACATAGTTCGACTTATATCCACCCCTGTTCATCTTACGTGCGTTGGATTCACCTTTAACTGTCGAGGAAAATACCGTTTAACTTTTAGGGTAATTTCGGGAAAGATAGACCAGGCAAGTATTTCCTACATTATCCGCCAGATATGGAACAAAAAACACTGAGAGCAACGCTCGATCGCTTTTCGCAAAACAAATGTAAAACAAAAGAATACTGACGCGTTCCACATTTGGCGGATAATGTAGGAAATACTTGCCTGGTCCGTCTCTCCCGCCGGTCCATCTCTCCCGGAATTACCATATCACTATGTCAGTTAGAAACAGAGATACGATGATTTAAATTTCGCTAGGAACTTTCCGAACAACTC